GACAATGCCTCCGTGCACAAAGCGATGTCCATACAGAAATGGTTTGTTGAGATCGTTGTGGAAGAACTTGACTTGAGTGTTGACCTCAACCCCATCGAACACCTTTGGGATGAATTGAATTGCTGACATTTTGGGAAAAAAGCTTCAAATAGCCCCCGCGATATGCAACTTTTCAGGGAAGTTAGGAACCAATATACACAAGCAGTCAGGAAAGCAAAGGCTAACTTTTTCAAACAGAAATTTGCATCCTGTAGCACTAACTCCAAAAAGTTTTGGGACACTGTAAAGTCCATGGAGAATAAGAGCACTTCCTCCCAGCTGCCCACTGCACTGAGGCTAGGAAACACTATCACCACCAATAAATCTACAATAATCGAGAATTTCAACAAGCATTTTGCTACAGCTGGCCATGCTTTCCATCTGGCTACCACTACCCCGGCCACCAACTCTGTACCCTCTGCTGCAAATTGCCCATGCCCCCCCCGCTTCTCCTTCACACAAATTCAGACAGCTGATGTTTTGAAAGCGCTGCAAAATCTGGACCCCTACCAATCAGCTGGGTTAGACAATCTGGACCCTTTCTTTCTAAAACTAGCCGCCGAAATTGTCGCAACCCCTATTACTAGTCTGTTCAACCTCTCTTTCATAACGTCTGAGATCCCCAGAGATTGGAAAGCTGCCGCGGTCATCCCCCTCTTCAAAGGGGGTGACACTCTAGATCCAAACTGCTACAGACCTATATCCATCCTGCCCTGCCTTTCGAAAGTATTTGAAAGCCAAGTTAACAAACAGATCACCGACCATTTCGAATACCACCGTACCTTCTCCGCTATGCAATCCGGTTTCCGAGCTGGTCATGGGTGCACTTCAGCCACGCTCAAGGTCCTAAACGATATTATAACCGCGATTGATAATAGACAGTACTGTGCAGCCGTCTTCATCGACCTGGCCAAGGCTTTCGACTCTGTCAACCACCGCATTCTTATTGGCAGACTAAATAGCCTTGGTTTCTCAAATGACTGCCTCGCCTGGTTCACCAACTACTTCTCAGATAGAGTTCAGTGTGTCAAATCGGAGGGCCTGTTGTCTGGACCTATGGCAGTCTCTATGGGGGTGCCACAGGGTTCAATTCTTGGGCCGACACTTTTCTCCGTGTATATCAATGATGTCGCTCTTGCTGCTGGTGACTCTCAGATCCACCTCTACGCAGACGACACCATTTTGTATACATCTGGCCCTTCATTGGACATTGTGTTAACAAACCTCCAAACGAGCTTCAATGCCATACAACACTCCTTCAGTAGCCTCCAACTGCTCTTAAACACTAGTAAAACTAAATGCATGCTTTTCAATCGAACGCTGCTGGCACCCGCCCACCCGACTAGAATCACCACTCTCGACGGGTCTGACCTAGAGTATGTGGACAACTACAAATACCTAGGTGTCTGGTTAGACTGTAAACTCAACTTCCAGACTCACATAAAGAATCTCCAATCCAAAGTTAAATCTAGAATCGGCTTCCTATTTCGCAACAAAGCCTCCTTCACTCATGCTGCCAAACATGCCCTCGTAAAACTGACTATCCTACCGATCCTTGACTTCGGCGATGTCATTTACAAAATAGCCTCCAACACTCTACTCAGCAAATTGGATGTAGTCTATCACAGTGCCATCCGTTTTGTCTCCAAAGCCCCATACACTACCCACCACTGTGACCTGTACGCTCTTGTTGGCTGGTCCTCACTACATGTTCGTCGTCAAACCCACTGGCTCCAGGCCATCTATAAATCACTGCTAGGCAAATCCCCGCCTTATCTTAGCTCATTGGTCACCATAGCAGCACCCACCCGTAGTCTGCGCTCCAGCAGGTATATCTCACTGGTCATTCCCAAAGTCAACACCTCCTTTGGCCGCCATTCCTTCCAGTTCTCTGCTGCCAATGACTGGAACGAATTGCAAAAATCTCTGAAGCTGGAGACTCTTATCTCCCTCAATAACTTTAAGCATCAGTTGTCAGAGCACCTTACCGATCACTGCACCTGTACACAGCCCATCTGAAATTAGCCCACCCAACTACCTCATCCCTATATTGTTATTTATTTTGCTCTTTTGCACCCCAGTATCTCTATTTGCACATAATCTCTTGCACATCTAGCATTCCAGTGTTAATACTATTGTAATTATTTTGCACTATAGCCTATTTATTGCCTTACCTCCATAACTTGCTACATTTGCACACACTGTATATATATTTTCTGTTGTATTTTTGACTTTATGTTTTTTTACCCCATATGTAACTCTGTGTTGTTTTTATCGCACTGCTTTGCTTTATCTTGGCCAGGTCGCAGTTCAGATGGCTCATTCATCACAAAACCAACTGATATTGCCAACTACTTTAATGATTTTTTCATTGGCATGATTAGCAAACTCAGGCATGACATGCCAGCAACAATTGCTGACACTACACATCCAAGTATATCTGACCAAATTATGAAAGACAAACGTTGTAATTTTGAATTCCGTAAAGTGAGTGTGGAAGAGGTGAAATAATTATTGTTGTCTATCAACAATGACAAGCCACCGGGGTCTGACAACTTGGATGGAAAATTACTGAGGATAATAGCAGACGATATTGCCACTCCTATTTTCAATTTAAGCCTACTAGAATGGAGGGAAGCAAAAGTAATTCCACTACCCAAGAATAGTAAAGCCCCCTTTACTGGCCCAAATAGCCGACCAATTAGCCTGTTACCAAGCCGTAGTAAATTATTGGAAAGAATTGTGTTTGACCAGATACAATGCTATTTTACTGTAAACAAATTGACAACAAACTTTCAGCATGCTTATAGAGAAGGACATTCAACAAGCACAGCACTTACACAAATGACTGATGATTGGCTGAGAGAAATTGATGATAAAAATATATTGGGGGCTGTTTTGTTAGACTTCGGTGCAGCTTTTGACATTATCGATCATAGTCTGCTGCTGGAAAAAATGTGTTATGGCTTTAATATTGTGGATAAAGAGTTACCTGTTGGAAGCTTCTCCAACATAATCCAGGTAGAATCAGGAATTCCCCAGGGCAGCTGTCTAGGCCCATTACTTTTTTCAATCTTTACTAACGACATGCCACTGGCTTTGAGTAAAGACAGAGTGTCTATGTATGTGGATGACTCAACACTATACATGTCAGCTACTACAGCGACTGAAATGACTGCAACACTTAACAAAGAGTTGCAGTTAGTTTCAGAGTGGGTGGCAAGGAATACGTTTCTAAAACTAAAAGCACTGTATTTGGAACAAATCATTCACTAAACTCTAAACCTCAATCCAATCTTGTAATAAATAATGTGGATATTGAGCAAGTTGAGGTGACTAAACTGCTTGGAGTAACCCTGGATTGTAAACTGTCATGGTCAAAACATATTGATACAACAGTAGCTAAGTTTGGGAGAAGTCTGTCCATAATTAAGCGCTGCTCTGCCTTCCTAACAACAGTATCAACAAGGCAGGTCCTACAGGCTCTAGTTTTATCGCACCTGGACTACTGTTCAGTCATGTGGTCAGGTGCCACAAAGAGGGACAGGAAAATTGCAATTGGCTCAGAACAGGGCAGCACGGCTGGCCCTTGGATGTACACAGAGAGCAAACATTAATAATATGCATGTCAATCTCTCCTGGCTCAAAGTGGAGGAGAGATTGACTTCAGCACTGCTTGTATTTATGAGAGGTATTGACATGTTGAAAGCACCGAACTGTCTGTTTAAACGACTAGCACACAGCTCAGACACCCATGCATACCCCACAAGACATGCCACCAGAGGTCTCGTCACATTCCCCAAGTCCAGAACAGACTATGGGAGGCGCACAGTACTACATAGAGCCATTACTACATGGAACTCTATTCCACATTAGGTAACTGATGCAAGCAGTAGAATCAGATTTTAAATAAACAGATAAAAATCCACCTTGGAACAGCGGGGACTGTGAAGCAACACAAACATAGGCACAGACACATGCATACACACACACATGATAACATACACACTATACACACACGTACACATGGGTTTTGTGTTGTAGATATGTGGTAGTGGAGTAGGGGCCTGAGGGCACACACTTAGTACAAGCCTAATCGCCCAACATCAGTGCCCTACGTCACTAATGCTCTTGTGGCTGAATGTAAGCAAGTCCCTGCAGCAACGTTCCAACATCTAGTGGAAAGCTTTCCCAGAAGAGTGGAGGCTGTTATAGCAGAAAAGTGGGGACCAACTCCATATTAATTACCATGATTTTGGAATGAGATGTTCGACGAGCAGGTGTCCACGTACTTTTTGTCATGTAGTGTATATAGAGAGCAATATTTCATGTAATTATTGTCCTCTAGGACAGTGGTTTTCAAACCTCTCTTCGGGGACCCCCAGACATTTCACAATTTGATTGGAGCCCTGTACTAGCTAAACTATTCAACCTAATCAAGAGCTTGGTATTTAGGTGAATCGGGTGTGATAGCTTTAGAATAGGACAAATATATGGAACGGCTGTGGGTCCCAGAGAAGTTGAAAAACCCTGCTCTAGGATAACAGCTGGTTGAGTTATTGTTTTAGAACAGTGCCATCTAGTGGAGGTTGTTTGTAGTCAACAGTTCATTAAAAAGGGGTTATGGGGGCCCAGAACCGAGTTTGGGAAACCCTGCATCAGGCTACTGTATAGTGTAAAGACAGCTGTACAGAAGCGCCCCCCCACCTGACTTTATCAGTCAGCCACAGCCCTGAGATAAGGTTCCTCAGAAGGCGTCTTCATTGCCCCCAACAGCTCAGTAACACGTGCCCAACATTGTGGGCCCCTAATGTTTTTGTTACTGTGTTTCCTGTTTTACATGTCAGTACGCCTAGTATATTTAAGGTTAATGCAGTCACTCTGACCTTTGGAGAGGATTTAAAGAAAGGAGAATACCATTATTTTATTTTTTAACAATATGTTTATTAGGTTTTCCAAGTAAAAGTGTACAGAAACAGTCTGTAACAAGAATTCCCCCCCCCAAAAAAAACCATACAAATAACTAAGAACAAATGATGTACAAAACTATGCCTCCTCATGGAATGACATTTAATTTCTCCAACATAAAATGTAATGATTAATGTGTGTATCATTACTGAGGTTAGAACTGGTTAACTGTTGGGTACTAATAACTAGTTAATTTATGCTGTAAAGCTAGAAACATTAAGCATACGGTTACTCTATATTATAGCATATTTAAATGTATGCATTTGTGTAAGGCACCTTTATTAAGATATTTTCTTAATTTAAGAAATGAGTATTTACACTTTACAAATACATTGTATTATGGCAATAGTGCAGATAGTTCTCAAGTCGCTCCCCACTTTCATTCTGTAAGGATTCAAATAATCTTCCAGGTGAAACCTTTGGGGTGTCCAAGGACAAGAGGATAGCTGTCAAGATAATGTTTCATTCAGTGGACATACTGTACTCTATCATATTCCTGTGTATTACCGGTGTAGACACTAGAGACCCCTGAAGAACTGCAGAGAGAGTTCATAGCCCAGAAACATGGTGGCACTCATGGGGAAGCCTCGGATAGCGTTCACTGAGGCTCCGCGGAAGAAGACCTGAAGAGAGAGAGAGAGAGAAAATAATTACTAAATGTATAATTTAAAAAAAGGAATTCAATTAAACGTAACATCCTACTTTCATAACAGCCAACCAAAACAAATATCTAGCTGAAACCACATGGTTCAAGCCCATTCAAGCTCATTCAGGCCAAGTACCTATCTTGTCAATGATTGTCAGGTATTGATCAAATGTCCGTGCTCAGTCACTGTCTGCCGAAAACACATTTGAACAAGATCATCAGTCTGGTCACTTGGAATTGGGGGGTGTGACACAACACTATTGGCTTTCTACTATTCTATTACGTCACAAACTGACCAAAACCTGTTTGAACTCCCCCTTAACCCAGGAACGACCTTGGTAGTTTGATAATAACTTTTTTTTTTGGAACAGATCTTGTCTCGCCTTGTGACTTTTACAGGACATGTCGGGTTGAGTTCACCCGAGTTTAACTTTTAAATCAAATCAAATCAAATCAAATTGTATTGGTCACATGCGCCGAATACAACAGGTGCAGACATTACAGTGAAATGCTTACTTACAAGCCCTTAATCAACAGTGCATTTATTTTAAACAAAAAAAAGTAAAAATAAAACAACAACAAAAAAAAAGTGTTGAGAAAAAAAAGAGCAGAAGTAAAATAAAGTGACAGTAGGGAGGCTATATACAGGGGGGGGTACCGGTGCAGAGTCAATGTGCGGTGGGCACCGGCTAGTTGAGGCAGTTGAGGTAATTTTAAACTGAAGGGACTAACGCTAACAGCTACTAGCACTGTCAGCAATTGTCCATGTTGCCACAAAGCTACACCAAAACCACACATATAGGCTACTGTACTACTTTCCAAATGAAATGTACTGATGAATCAATCTTTAAATTGCTACACTGTGGGCTGGTTTCCCGTACAAAGATTAGGCCTACGCATGGACAAAGAAGCATGCTCAATGAAGGGATCTTCACTGAAAGCGCTGCTTAGTCCAGGTCTATGGGCTTAATCGGAGTACGGGGGAAACAGGCCCAGTGTACGTTTGCTCACATGTATCCCCTCTGTCTTGTAGCTCTGGACGATGCAGTGTACAATCCCTCTGTATTTCCTTGTGTGGAGGGCGTCCGCCTGTAGTCTGCTCTTCACCACGTCAGCTGGAGTAGCTGTGACCCACGAGATAGAACCTTGTAGACAGGAGAAGGTCAGAGGTCAGGAGACGTACATTAGCATGTAGCAACAGTAGAGATGATCTATGATGTTATAGAAGTCCTTGTAACAGGATTTTGGCTACAGTCAGGGCATGTTCAAGTCGGCAAAGCTTTATATGTAATAATAATAATAATAAATAATACATGAATAATTTGGTGGTAGAGAAGACTACAGTACTCGCAAATAAAGGTCACTACAGTTCAGAGTTTTAGCTACCACAGAGGTACAACCAGTGTTGGGTACTTGTAACAGGGATTACGTAATCAGATTACATCAACCCAGATTACTATTTTTTTTTTTTTTTTACGGATTACAGTTACATTCTTAAAAACAGCCAATTACATTTTTGGAAAACTTCATGTAATATCAAGATGTTTCTTCAAACACACTGAACTGGCAGGTTTTTTTAAAAAACTGTCCTGAGACACACTGCCAGGAAGTTACATTTCAGTGGGAATGTAAGCTTTTTCCTTCTGTTCTAATGTATTCAAAATCTCAAAAATTGCCAAATGTCCTCTCCTTGTTGCTTTCCACACAATTTTTTTTTGTTTTAACCAAAAACATCAGACCCCCCTCTTACTGAGAACTACGGTTGCAAAGGGAGGGTAAACTACCAGAATTCTGTTATATTTCAAGAATTTTATGTAATCTATCACAAGATGTGGTCCTCTGTAGCTCAGCTGGTAGAGCACGGCGCTTGTAACGCCAAGGTAGTGGGTTCGATCCCCGGGACCACCCATACACAAAAAAAAAATGTATGCACACATGACTGTAAGTCGCTTTGGATAAAAGCGTCTGCTAAATGGCATATTATTATTATTAAGATGGCCCTTTTGAGTACTTCATATAATCAGAGATGTTTGTAATAATCTCTAGCCCTCTGTGTGACCACATGTAATATAATATGAAATAATTAAATGAGATGATTTAAAAATAAAAAAAAACAGAGTGACAACGCTGTAAAACATTATCCTGAAATATAAACCACCAACTTAATGAATACCATTGATGTTTAATAAAAGGGTTTCAACATGAAATATCCTTTACAGTGGCTTGCGAAAGTATTGGCATTTTTCCTATTTTGTTGCCTTACAACCTGGAGTTAACCCGGCCCTCTGTAGCGCAGTTGGTAGAGCATGGCGTTTTCAATGCCAAGGTTGTGGGTTCGATCCCCACGGGGGGCCAGTATCAAGGAAATGTATGCACTCACTAACTGTAAGTCGCTCTGGATGAGAGCGTCTGGTAAATATGGATTTTTGGGGGGTTTGTATCATTTGATTTACACAACATGCCGACCACTTTGAAGATGCAAAATATGTTTTATTGTGAAACAAACAAGAAATAAGACAAAAAAACTGAAAACTTGAGCGTGCATAACTATTCACCCCCCCCCGTATTTAGTGCCATCCATCATTCCTTCAATTCTGACCAGTTTCCCAGTCCCTACCGATGAAACACATCCGCACAGCATGATGCTGCCATCACCATGCTTCACTGTGGGGATGGTGTTCTCGGGGTGATGAGAGGTGTTGGGTTTGCGCCAGACATAGCGTTTCCTTGATGGCCAAAAAGCTCAATTTTAGTCTCATCTGACCAGAGTACCTTCTTCTATATGTTTGGGGAGTCTCCCACATGCCTTTTGGCGAACACCAAACGTGTTTGCTTATTTTGTTCTTTAAGCAATGGCTTTTTTCTGGCCACTCTTCCGTAAAGCTCTGTGGAGTGTACGGCTTAAAGTGGTCCTATGGACAGATACTCCAATCTCCGCTGTAGAGCTTTGCAGCTCCTTCAGGGTTATCTTTGGTCTCTTTGTTGCCTCTCTGATTAATGCCCTCCTTGCCTGGTCCGTGAGTTTTGGTGGGCGGCCCTCTCTTGGCAGGTTTGTTGTGGTGCCATATTCTTTCCATTTTTTAATAATGGATTTAATGGTGCTCCGTGGGATGTTCAAAGTTTCAGATATTGTTTTATAACCCAACCCTGATCTGTACTTCTCCACAACTTTGTCCCTGTCCTGTTTGGAGAGCTCCTTGGTCTTCATGGTGCCGCTTGCTTGGTGGTGCCCCATGCTTAGTGGTGTTGCAGACTCTGGGGCCGTTCAGAACAGGTGTATATATACTAAGATCATGTGACAGGTCATGTGACACTTAGATTGCACACAGATGGACTTTATTTAACTAATTATGTGACTTCTGAAGGTAATTGGTTGCACCAGATCTTATTTAGGGGCTTCATAGCAAAGGGGGTGAATACATATTCACGCACCACTTTTCCGTTATTTATTTTTTGAATTTTTTGAAACAAGTAATTTTTTTCATTTCACTTCACCAATTTGGACTATTTTGTGTATGTCCATTAAAATCTATTTAAATTACAGGTTGTAATGCAACAAAATTGGAAAAAACGCCAAGGGGGATGAATACTTTTGCAAGGCACTGTATATATTTTTTCACACTCTTGTATTTATTTTACCATGTCACTATGTCTTTGTTGTCAATGTTTTGGGGCCAAACTGGTGGCAGGTTTGAAACAAGTCAACAGTAGGAAGAGTTGCTAATTAGTTAAATAGTTAATTGAAATGAATGCCATTGTTGATTACATTTTTGTTCCATTAATTAGGCTTGAACCATATGGTCTAATTAAATCAACAACACCTTTCTCGAAGACTCAAACGGAAGCAAGTATTCATAAATAATCGTTCTCTTAAATTAAAGATTAGATTCAAGCCTATTCTTGTGGGAAGTTGCTATAATATGCTATTTAGCAGACGCTTTTATCCAAAGCGACTTACAGTCATGTGCGCATACATTTTTACGTATGGGTGGTCCCGGGGATCAAACCCACTACCCTGGCGTTACAAGCGCCATGCTCTACCAATTGAGCTACAGAGGACCACGAGCGCTATAGACCACCAAGTGCTAACAGTCAGTATCTGGATAACGTGTGAAATACTTGATAATGTAGGTGATATCAACAGAGAAGTATATTTTCTGGGTGATTAAATATTGACTGGCTTTCATCAAGCTACCCACTCAAGAAAAAGCTTCAAACTGTAACTAGTGCCTGCAACCTGGTTCAGGTTATCAATCACCCTACCAGGGTAGTTACAAACAGCATAGGAATGAAATCATCAACATGTATTGAGCACATCTTTACTAATGCTGCAGAAATGTGCTTGAAAGCAGTATCCAGATCCATCTTATGTAGTGATCACAATTTAGTAGCCATCTCTAGGAAAACCAAAGTTCCAAAGGCTGGGCCTAATATAGTGTATAAGAGGTCATACAATAAGTTTTGTAGTGATCCCTATGTTGTTGATGTAAAGAATATGTGTTGGTCCGTGGTGTGTAATGAGGAGCAAACAGACACTGCACTTGACAGGTTTATGAAATTGCTTATCCCAGTTACTAATAAGCATGCACCCATTAAGAAAATTACTGTAAAAACTGTTAAATCCCCGTGGATTGATGAGGAATTGAAACATTTTATGGTTGAGAGGGATGACGCACAAGGAATGGTAAATAGGTCTGGCTGCACAACCGATTGGAAAACGTACTGCAAATTGAGAACTCAGGTGACTAAACTGAATAAAAAGAAGAAGAAACTACACTATGAAACAAAGATAAATGACATAAAAGAATGATAGTAAAAATCTTTGGAGCGCCTTCAATTAAATTTGGGGAAAAATGGCAAACTCAGCGCCATCATTCATTGAATCAGATGGCTCATTCATCACAAAACCGACTGATATTGCCAACTACTTTCATTATTTTTTTTCATTCACTGGTAAGATTAGCAAATTTAGGCATGACATGCCAGCAACAAATGCTGACACTACACATCCAAGTATATCTGACCAAATTATGAAAGACAAGCGTTGTAATTTTGAATTCCGTAAAGTGAGTGTGTGGAAGAGCTTAACAGTGATTGTTGTCTATCAACAATGACAAGCCACCGTGGTCCAGCAACTTGGATGGAAAATTACTGAGGATAATAGCGGACCATATTGCCACTCCTATTAGTTCATTACCAAAATTACTGAAGATTCCGGCAACCTTGGTAAACTACTGGTAGCTTTGCAACACTACTGAGAACTGAATCATCTGACATTTCATCAGGATCTCTGTGTCAAAAGGAAATGTTGTATTTGGCAATACAGTAACGTTGAAGGGCTCTGGCTAGTATACTTAGCCAGCTAGAAGGATGAAGTACGAAGCTAACGTGAAACGGAGCCGAACCTCAGCAGGTGCAAAAAATGGGCTACTAAATGATCATAATAACGTTGCTTTACAGAGAGAAGGCTACCGAGACAGACGTGGCGCTCAGTGGTGAGGCTGAGAGAGGCTGCAATGCATGCAGGAGGAAGCAGAGGAGACAGAGAGAGAGAGAGGGGACGTAAGCAGAGAGAGGTTAGTACAGTGGTTCCCAAACTTGGGGTCGGGGCCCCATGAGGGGCTCCCTGAGAAAATCAGTACTAATGTTATCAGGAACTTTTTAAAAAGATGATATGTTTCAATATGAACATCTTCACATGGCCCATCATTCCTGTAGGCCGACATTAAAATACAACCACTGTATGTTTCAGTATGAACATCTCCACAGACATTAAAATGCAATCAACATTCAAACAATACAGTTCTAAAAATGTCATAAAATGTCCTTGATATCGGTGGTTGTTCGTCTTATCATCTCCATCGATGGAGTTTTTACCACTACATCACTGATAATACAGAAACGTAAGTAATATTCTAATAATTATTGTGAATGTGATAATACGATCATCTGTGTGCTCCACTGATGTCTGTTTGTACGGAGCTTGATTAGTAATGCCTATGAATACAAATGTGAATGCTATGTATTTTGACAAAAGAGATACAGTATCTATGTAAAGAGTTGATGATTTTATGCAATTCATCATTGCAACTGACTGAACAGTCGCTGATGCTACGTGTCAGTGTGTATCATTTCTCATATTTCAGGGGTATAGCATTACAGCTGTATAGCTAATAGGCTAGGTGTTTATCGATGGACTGAGGTGAATGAACCTACAGCAGCCGAGGTCATAATGGCTGGGGTCATTCTTGCTGTTCTCCAAATAGCATTTTAAAGTTGTTTTAATTGTATAGAAATGCAGTCTACCCCCTTCCGGACCTCACTGAAACTCAAACCCTGGTTACGGCCCTGCTAGCAACGTCAGGATTGAGGGTTCGATTGACTTATGGGCCTAATAACCCTCAGCCAGTAGATTCTCTGGCCTGGCGGAGACCAAAACCAGCCCGCGGGTTCAACAGAACGCTCCTTTAGCTTTCTGTTTGCTTCCACCAAGACCAACTAGCAACAGTAACATCACCATTCATCCATAAACACCTTCCAGTTACCTGCCAGTCCTCCAGACAGCCATATAGAACAGGGATGAGGTGACGACCTCCCTTCAGGGGATAGCCAGCGACGGAACAACGCGTAGGGGATGAAGTACAGCGTGTACCCAGGGACGTCTCTCAGGACCATGGCCCCGGCCCCTCTGTAGAGCCCCTGGATCCCCTCCGTCTGCAGTGTGGAGCTGATACAGTGGATGGGCCCCCTGTAGGTCGGCTGGCCCTGGAGAGTCACGGAGCGCACAGCGATGTTACCGTTCCCGTTTCCGGTTGTCCCGGCAATGTTCAGGTTCTCTAAAATACACAAGGATACAAACAATAAAAGATGAGATTGTACTTGACTTTATTGACCGCTGAGGCAGAAAGAGGAGAGTTTGAATTAAGGTTCTTATGCGGAAGGAGGCTTTACCTATATACCAGAACAACAGGTGATGGTCAACATTTAACCCATGTATTTTATGATGCCCTATACCGTAAGATCCATGAGGCAACACACAAGGTCGTGTGGTGCATCACCATATAAAAGGTGCAGCAATTTCCGTCTTCAAAACGGTGACTGGTGACTCATCACTGGTGTAGGACATTGACAGGTGACTATGACGCCTTTCGTTTATCAACCTCTGAGTGCGCTGGTTACGATCCATGGGCTGCATCATCTCAAACTAGCTCGTCTGAGTTGCTGTTGTGAAATATGAATGGCTGTTGAAAAACCTTATGGGGCACTGAACCTGAATAGGCAAATGATACGTTGTCTCTGGTTCGTTGAATTGTCAACCTATTCTGTTCTGTTCTACTCTAGACCTCTGAGTAAAGTCCCACTAAAATGAGCTGTCTAAACCCATGGGTACTGTCGGCACTGTCCCTTCTAGAATGGTCTGAAGGATAGTTATACTAAAGGAAATACCTTCTAGAATGGTCTGAAGGATAGTTATACTAAAGGAAATACCTGCTAGAATGGTCTGAAGGATAGTTATACTAAAGGAAATACCTTCTAGAATGGTCTGAAGGATAGTTATACTAAAGGAAATACCTTCTAGAATGGTCTGAAGGATAGTTACACTAAAGGAAATACCTTCTATAATGGTCTGAAGGATACTTATACTAAAGGAAATACCTTCTAGAATGGTCTGAAGGATAGTTATACTAAAGGAAATACCTTCTAGAATGGTCTGAAGGATAGTTACACTAAAGGAAATACCTGCTAGAATGGTCTGAAGGATAGTTATACTAAAGGAAATACCTTCTAGAATGGTCTGAAGGATAGTTACACTAAAGGAAATACCTGCTAGAATGGTCTGAAGGATAGTTATACTAAAGGAAATACCTTCTAGAATGGTCTGAAGGATAGTTACACTAAAGGAAATACCTGCTAGAATGGTCTGAAGGATAGTTATACTAAAGGAAATACCTGCTAGAATGGTCTGAAGGATAGTTATACTAAAGGAAATACCTGCTAGAATGGTCTGAAGGATAGTTATACTAAAGGAAATACCTGCTAGAATGGTCTGAAGGATAGTTATACTAAAGGAAATACCTGCTAGAATGGTCTGAAGGATAGTTACACTAAAGGAAATACCTGCTAGAATGGTCTGAAGGATAGTTATACTAAAGGAAATACCTGCTAGAATGGTCTGAAGGATAGTTATACTAAAGGAAATACCTGCTAGAATGGTCTGAAGGATAGTTATACTAAAGGAAATACCTGCTAGAATGGTCTGAAGGATAGTTATACTAAAGGAAATACCTGCTAGAATGGTCTGAAGGATAGTTATACTAAAGGAAATACCTGCTAGAATGGTCTGAAGGATAGTTATTATGACGCCTTTCGTTTATCAACCTCTGAGTGTGCTGGTTACGATCCATGGGCTGCATCATCTCAAACTAGCTCGTCTGAGTTGCTGTTGTGAAATATGAATGGCTGTTGAAAAACCTTATGGGGCACTGAACCTGAATAGGCAAATGATACGTTGTCTCTGGTTCGTTGAATTGTCAACCTATTCTGTTCTGTTCTACTCTAGACCTCTGAGTAAAGTCCCACTAAAATGAGCTGTCTAAACCCATGGGTACTGTCGGCACTGTCCCTTCTAGAATGGTCTGAAGGATAGTTATACTAAAGGAAATACCTTCTAGAATGGTCTGAAGGATAGTTATACTAAAGGAAATACCTTCTATAATGGTCTGAAGGATACTTATACTAAAGGAAATACCTTCTAGAATGGTCTGAAGGATAGTTATACTAAAGGAAATACCTTCTAGAATGGTCTGAAGGATAGTTACACTAAAGGAATACCTGCTAGAATGGTCTGAAGGATAGTTATACTAAAGGAAATACCTTCTAGAATGGTCTGAAGGATAGTTACACTAAAGGAAATACCTGCTAGAATGGTCTGAAGGATAGTTATACTAAAGGAAATACCTGCTAGAATGGTCTGAAGGATAGTTATACTAAAGGAAATACCTGCTAGAATGGTCTGAAGGATAGTTATACTAAAGGAAATACCTGCTAGAATGGTCTGAAGGATAGTTATACTAAAGGAAATACCTGCTAGAATGGTCTGAAGGATAGTTACACTAAAGGAAATACCTGCTAGAATGGTCTGAAGGATAGTTATACTAAAGGAAATACCTGCTAGAATGGTCTGAAGGATAGTTATACTAAAGGAAATACCTGCTAGAATGGTCTGAAGGATAGTTATACTAAAGGAAATACCTGCTAGAATGGTCTGAAGGATAGTTATACTAAAGGAAATACCTGCTAGAATGGTCTGAAGGATAGTTATACTAAAGGAAATACCTGCTAGAATGGTCTGAAGGATAGTTATACTAAAGGAAATACCTGCTAGAATGGTCTGAAGGATAGTTATACTAAAGGAAATACCTGCTAGAATGGTCTGAAGGATAGTTACACTAAAGGAAATACCTTCTAGAATGGTCTGAAGGATAGTTATACTAAAGGAAATACCTTCTAGAATGGTCTGAAGGATAGTTATTATGACGCCTTTAGTTTATCAACCTCTGAGTGTGCTGGTTACGATCCATGGGCTGCATCATCTCAAACTAGCTCGTCTGAGTTGCTGTTGTGAAATATGAATGGCTGTTGAAAAACCTCATGGGGCACTGAACCTGAATAGGCAAATGATACGTTGTCTCTGGTTCGTTGAATTGTCAACCTATTCTGTTCTGTTCTACTCTAGACCTCTGAGTAAAGTCCCACTAAAATGAGCTGTCTAAACCCATGGGTACTGTAGGCACTGTCCCTTCTAGAATGGTCTGAAGGATAGTTATACTAAAGGAAATACCTTCTAGAATGGTCTGAAGGATAGTTATACTAAAGGAAATACCTTCTAGAATGGTCTGAAGGATAGTTTATACTAAAGGAAATACCTGCTAGAATGGTCTGAAGGATAGTTATACTAAAGGAAATACCTTCTAGAATGGTCTGAAGGATAGTTATACTAAAGGAAATACCTTCTAGAATGGTCTGAAGGATAGTTATACTAAAGGAAATACCTTCTAGAATGGTCTGAAGGATAGTTATACTAAAGGAAATACCTTCTAGAATGGTCTGAAGGATAGTTATACTAAAGGAAATACCTGCTAGAATGGTCTGAAGGATAGTTATACTAAAGGAAATACCTTCTAGAATGGTCTGAAGGATAGTTATACTAAAGGAAATACCTTCTAGAATGGTCTGAAGGATAGTTATACTAAAGGAAATACCTTCTAGAATGGTCTGAAGGATAGTTATACTAAAGGAAATACCTGCTAGAATGGTCTGAAGGATAGTTATACTAAAGGAAATACCTGCTAGAATGGTCTGAAGGATAGTTATACTAAAGGAAATACCTGCTAGAATGGTCTGAAGGATAGTTATACTAAAGGAAATACCTGCTAGAATGGTCTGAAGGATAGTTACACTAAAGGAAATACCTGCTAGAATGGTCTGAAGGATAGTTATACTAAAGGAAATACCTGCTAGAATGGTCTGAAGGATAGTTATACTAAAGGAAATACCTGCTAGAATGGTCTGAAGGATAGTTATACTAAAGGAAATACCTGCTAGAATGGTCTGAAGGATAGTTATACTAAAGGAAATACCTGCTAGAATGGTCTGAAGGATAGTTATACTAAAGGAAATACCTGCTAGAATGGTCTGAAGGATAGTTATACTAAAGGAAATACCTGCTAGAATGGTCTGAAGGATAGTTATACTAAAGGAAATACCTGCTAGAATGGTCTGAAGGATAGTTACACTAAAGGAAATACCTTCTAGAATGGTCTGAAGGATAGTTATACTAAAGGAAATACCTTCTAGAATGGTCTGAAGGATAGTTATTATGACGCCTTTAGTTTATCAACCTCTGAGTGTGCTGGTTACGATCCATGGGCTGCATCATCTCAAACTAGCTCGTCTGAGTTGCTGTTGTGAAATATGAATGGCTGTTGAAAAACCTCATGGGGCACTGAACCTGAATAGGCAAATGATACGTTGTCTCTGGTTCGTTGAATTGTCAACCTATTCTGTTCTGTTCTACTCTAGACCTCTGAGTAAAGTCCCACTAAAATGAGCTGTCTAAACCCATGGGTACTGTAGGCACTGTCCCTTCTAGAATGGTCTGAAGGATAGTTATACTAAAGGAAATACCTTCTAGAATGGTCTGAAGGATAGTTATACTAAAGGAAATACCTTCTAGAATGGTCTGAAGGATAGTTATACTAAAGGAAATACCTGCTAGAATGGTCTGAAGGATAGTTATACTAAAGGAAATACCTTCTAGAATGGTCTGAAGGATAGTTATACTAAAGGAAATACCTTCTAGAATGGTCTGAAGGATAGTTATACTAAAGGAAATACCTTCTAGAATGGTCTGAAGGATAGTTATACTAAAGGAAATACCTTATAGAATGGTCTGAAGGATAGTTACACTAAAGGAAATACCTTCTAGAATGGTCTGAAGGATAGTTATACTAAAGGAAATACCTTCTAGAATGGTCTGAAGGATAGTTACACTAAAGGAAATACCTGCTAGAATGGTCTGAAGGATAGTTATACTAAAGGAAATACCTGCTAGAATGGTCTGAAGGATAGTTACACTAAAGGAAATACCTGCTAGAATGGTCTGAAGGATAGTTACACTAAAGGAAATACCTTCTAGAATGGTCTGAAGGATAGTTACACTAAAGGAAATACCTTCTAGAATGGTCTGAAGGATAGTTATACTAAAGGAAATACCTTCTAGAATGGTCTGAAGGATAGTTACACTAAAGGAAATACCTTCTAGAATGGTCTGAAGGATAGTTACACTAAAGGAAATAGCTTCTAGAATGGTCTGAAGGATAGTTATACTAAAGGAAATACCTTCTAGAATGGTCTGAAGGATAGTTACACTAAAGGAAATACCTTCTAGAATGGTCTGAAGGATAGTTACACTAAAGGAAATACCTTCTAGAATGGTCTGAAGGATAGTTACACTAAAGGAAATACCTTCTAGAATGGTCTGAAGGATAGTTATACTAAAGGAAATACCTTCTAGAATGGTCTGAAGGATAGTTATACTAAAGGAAATACCTTCTAGAATGGTCTGAAGGATAGTTATACTAAAGGAAATACCTTCTAGAATGGTCTGAAGGATAGTTACACTAAAGGAAATACCTTCTAGAATGGTCTGAAGGATAGTTACACTAAAGGAAATACCTTCTAGAATGGTCTGAAGGATAGTTACACTAAAGGAAATACCTGCTAGAATGGTCTGAAGGATAGTTATACTAAAGGAAATACCTGCTAGAATGGTCTGAAGGATAGTTACACTAAAGGAAATACCTGCTAGAATGGTCTGAAGGATAGTTACACTAAAGGAAATACCTTCTAGAATGGTCTGAAGGATAGTTACACTAAAGGAAATACCTTCTAGAATGGTCTGAAGGATAGTTATACTAAAGGAAATACCTTCTAGAATGGTCTGAAGGATAGTTACACTAAAGGAAATACCTTCTAGAATGGTCTGAAGGATAGTTATACTAAAGGAAATACCTTCTAGAATGGTCTGAAGGATAGTTACACTAAAGGAAATACCTTCTAGAATGGTCTGAAGGATAGTTATACTAAAGGAAATACCTTCTAGAATGGTCTGAAGGATAGTTATACTAAAGGAAATACCTTCTAGAATGGTCTGAAGGATAGTTACACTAAAGGAAATACCTTCTAGAATGGTCTGAAGGATAGTTATACTAAAGGAAATACCTGCTAGAATGGTCTGAAGGATAGTTATACTAAAATAAATACATTCTAGAATGGTCTATAATGTTGTATTGGGCTTTAACTTTACCTGCTAAACAGGGCAGAGTCTGCAACTGCAGTCTGATCTTAACAAGGTCGACCGGAGCTCCGAGTCCCACTGACATCAGCCCAGTCAACATGCTGGCCAGGGTCAGGTCCAACATACCACATGGCTGCCTCCCATCACCATAGCGGAACTTGCTTATAACCCTCTGCGTGTTGTTGAAGAGCCCAAACACCACTGAGTTATACACAGTGATGCTGGCCAGGGGGAAGGAGAGACCCTTGAAGAAGCCAGCAACCTAGGTGGAAGAAAAATGTGACGTTTTATGCAACAGTGTGTTTAGCAGAAGGTCTGGGTCCCAGTATACCACATGGTCTTTGGCAGCTTTAAGGTTTATTTTTTCCCCCCTCCCAGAGCGCTCTCCACTTCTTTCCAGGTTGTTCTCCCTCCCAGCCGGAGAGAGGCTACAGAGGGAATATTCACAGCAAGGCTCAAGGATATTGATAAAACAAAAGCACAGTTGCTTCAAAAGTCACATTTTTCTTTCCAGAACTGTCACAGCTAGGTCTACAGTATAATCTACAGATGAGTGTGTAAAATGAATATGATAATGAACTTTTACAGTAGTTGTCGAGGCTGACACTTAATGTCCAAGGCCTCTACAGTTCTTTAGGAAACTATACCAATGCCATGATGACAAATGGTTTATAATAATAAAAATATGCCATTTAGCAGACGCTTTTATCCAAAGCGACTTACAGTCATATATGTATACATTTTCTTTTGACGTATGGGTGGTCCCGGGGATCGAACCCACTACCCTGGCGTTACAAGCGCCATGCTCTACCAATTCAGCTACAGAGGACCACATGCCAAGAATTATCCCATGGCCTCCCATGGATTACTGTGGGTTCGATTCCCATTGGGATCCATACAATATGTCTATGCATGCATGACTGTAAGTAGCTTTGGATAAAAGTGTCTGCTAAACGGCCTGTATTACATTTAGACTACGAGAGCAGTGACATATCCACTTACAGTTTCCTTTCTGTAGATTTGGAGGACACAGTGGAGGGTGCTCCTGTATCCTTTCCCGGCTTGTAGACGAGTCTGTTGGGTAGAATCATAGAATGGGAAATGTTAATAACTTCAACATTTCTACCTAAAACATTGGCCTACACAATCTACAACATGTAGGCTAGGTGATGTGATGCGTGGTAACTCGTTTTACTGTTACTGCAGGCCTATTGCCTACTAAATGGTAACTGTGTATGTGCAGATAAACTAATGTTGCATGTTTGGTAAAAACTCAAGGATTGACATTAAGGTGTGACCTATTGCCTAGAGCAAGTGAACTGAACAGTTGGACAAGTTGAGCCTGCTCTGAGGTCGCCCCCATTGGGCAGTTTTTATTTTATTTATTTTTTTATGTTTACGGACAACAACGAAACTGCAAGCATTGATCTGTCTGGTTCCCCTCCATTGTTTAAATGAAAGAGACATTTTATGGATTTTTTCCCGATGGGCAAGTGCCTTTCAGACCTTAATGTAAATCCCTGATTTAAACCCGCAGGAGGCTGGTGGCACTTTAATTGAGGAGGACGGGCTCATGGTAATGGCTGGAGTGGAATTGGTGGAATGGTATCAAATACATCAAACACATGGTTTCCATGGTTTCCATGTGTTTGACGCCATTCCATTTGCTCCGTTCCAGACATTATTATGGGCTGTCCTCCTCTCAGCAGCCTCCACTGTTTAAACCTCATCGGACAGTTTCCTGGACACAGATTAATCCTATTCCTGGACTTAAACTCAAGATAAACAGAGAATCTCCATTGAAAATGCATTTTAGTCCAGGACTCGGCTTGATCAGTGTCTGGGAAACCAGTCCTTTATGTGTTGAACTGTGTCCTCATATGTACCTTGACTGTGTCCAGCGGATGACCCACAATAACACTGGACGCTCCTATTGGAAAAACAGATGGAAACAACATTTAGAGGAGTGAGAAGGGAAGATAGGGGTGGGAGAGAGAAGAGAGAGGAGATAGAGGAGATAGAGTGTAAGAGAGTGGGGGAGAGAGGAGAGAGGAGAGAGAGAGAGAGAGAGAGAGAGAGAGAGAGAGAGAGAGAGAGAGAGAGAGGAGAAGAGAGAGAGCGAGAGAGAGAGAGAGAGGAGAGAGAGAGAGAGAGAGAGAGCGAGAGAGAGAGAGAGAGAGGAGAGAGAGAGAGAGAGAGAGAGAGAAGAGAGAGAGAGAGAGAGAGAGAGAGCACACATTCAAATACCTATCAAAATTGGCTAAATCTAATTTAATGTGTCTTTGAATCCCCCCCCCCAGTGCTATCTGGCCATAAATCGACAGTACACCATGGCAAAGAGACAGAGCTGCATTTCCTCACCAAATGTAAAAAATATAAAACAATGAGTGTCATTTCCCCAAATGTTAAACCCTTATTCAAGGTTTCAAGACCTCTCTGATGAGAATAGGCTACCCGTCCTGTTGGGGGAGGACGCGGAGAGCTGTGGGTTGGCAGCGCACTACATTGCTGCCTGCCATAAGATGAGGGACAGTGTCTGACAGACCAACCGACCTGCACATGTCCTCTATGCTTATTGTTATTGTTCAATCTATGGATATTTTGACCCTTGGTTATTGTTGTTACTGATTGTCCCGTTGACAATCTTCATTATTATTATTTTAATTATGTTCATATCGTAAATGTATCACTTAATCTCCAAAGTACGCGTTTGGCAATGTACATTATTACATCATGCCAATAAAGTAAATTGAATTGAAAGAGAGTGAGATAGGGGGAGGGGGAGAGAGCGAGAGATAATAATAATATATAATGTTGTTTCAGTGGCACCCTGCCTAGAACATCCGACCCTTCTCGGACAATAGAACTACAGTACCACAGATTTCAGGGAAATACAGAGAGAACTGGGAGAATCATGTCCCGGCCAGACAGTCTCAGCAGCATTTTAAAACGCTACCACTGCCCTAGCTCTGCTTAGGGATCATTCTGACTCAACGTTTGCAAAAACAAACTTAGGCCGTTAATGTTCATAACTACAGTAGTCTGCCTATAGGCGAATAACGGGCCGATGAAGAGTGAGACCACTTACAGCATTCCACATATTTCATTATGCAATGTGCAACCACTAAAGCCCCCTACTGGCCGTTTCAGGTAGCGCGCCTTGCAGAAGTAGAATATATAAAAGGAAGAGTTTTTCTCAAACTAAATAGTCAAACATGTAGTACTGGTTATTTAATTATTAACTACCTGTTGATTGCATGTTAAATGTTGAGTGTTTGATCAAAATGATCAAATGTCAAGCTCTATGTGGGCAATTAGATTTGGAAAATCTGTGCATTGTTTAAACTTTGTTCCAATTATTCATTTTTTATTTCTAATCGAACATAGATTAGACATAGGCCTAAATAGCAAACATAGCAAATGTATTAAAATAAAAAACATACAAAAGTTTGTTTGTTTAACACAAATGATGATAAACAAACAAAAAATCGATATGTGGTCCTCTGTAGCTCAATTGGTAGAGCGTGGCGCTTGAAACGCCAGGGTAGTGGGTTCGATCCCCGGGACCAACCATACGAAAAAATGTATGCACGCATGACTGTAAGTCGCTTTGGCTAAAAGCGTCTGCTAAATAGCATGTTATATTATATATACGCAATAGTCCAACAACTCATCCAAACATAAAACGTGTTATTCTACAGCTAATTGACTTGTTGAAAAATAACGGACACTCACCTCCAATCCACCCTGCAAGGAAGTCATCTAAATGAAAACCATTCATTTTTGGATGCTCTTAATAACTTTTATTTTGTCACTGTCACCAGTTATCTTTAATTGTCTGGAATTGAAAGTCGATGCAGACACGCGGGGTAGGCTATCTGAGAAACAAAGTAAAACTAAGTAACGTTCCTAGCATCTTTATGTAAACCTCTAGATAAGTGTAGGAGGGTCTGTAAACATATTAACGTTTGGAGGGATTGGGCGTCTCTAAACCAATCAGCATCTAGGATTTCTGTTTAACACTTGCGGTCTCAAAACAATGGGCTGATTCGTTTTGCACGGCCCGGTACCCCAGTTTAGTAGAGATTTCAAGTCAGGACAAATGGGATGGCCTAAAATGTACATACGCTGCTCAAACGGGGCACCGGGCCATGCAAAACAAACTTGCCCAGTTACTTGCCCTGCAGTCATTCAAGCCGTCCTAAATTGTTTGTGCAGTTGGGAATAAAAAACGTCATAAATACTGTAAACCAAGAGGAATGTGGATGTAAACAAAATATAAGCTTCATTGGCCACTTACATAATTAGCCACATGGAAGGAGATTGATGTATAAAGCCAGAATTTTAGTACAAATGCATAATGGACATGTGGTCTTGGCTATATCATATCACAAAACATTTACTTTATCAACTTATTTGGGCAAAACAAATAAACTCCATAAACGTTGTGCAACATAGCTTTTTTCTTATTTTTTTAGTCGTTAATAAATTATTTTCCTATTTAATAGGCTATAGGGGCGCTATAGGGACGTCTGCTAAATGACGTAAATGTAAAATCTGAATGTAGGTAGCTTAGTGGTTAAGAGCGTTGTGCCAGTAACCGAAAGGTCGCTGGTTCTAATCCCCGAGCCGACTAGGTGAAAAATCTGTCGATGTGACCTTGAGCAAGGCACTTAGCCCTAATTGCTCTGGATAAGAGCGTCTGCTAAATGACGTAAATGGAAATATACCAAACTAACCATATATATTGTGAAAGAGGAGATAACAGGGTTTTAGACACACCCTAGAAGTATTGCTTAGAAAAACACACAGATAACACTCGAAGATAAGAAACCATTGCACTGCAGGATGGAAAATTACAAGCAAAACACGGTGCCAGAAGTGGGACAGACACATTTTCTGTTTGCTTGCACCTCTGGACCTCAAGACTCATTCAGAAAAACCCAATTACTATAAAAACCTACACTTTTATTAGCATGTGCATTTAGTGAAAGTATTCATACCCCTTGACTCATTCAATTTTTTTGTGTTACAACCTGAATAAAAAATTATATATATGTATTTCACACATCTACACACAATACTCCATAATGACAAAGTGAAAACATGTTTTTAGACATTTTTGCAAATGTATTGAAAATAAATACAAAATATCTAATTTACATAAGTATTCACACCCCGGAGTCAAGTCTTTGCACACCTGGGTTGTACAATACTTGCACATTATTCTTTAAAAAAGTATTAAAGCTCTGGGGCGGCAGGTGGCTTAGTGGTTACGAGCGTTGTGCCAGTAACCGAAAGGTCGCTGGTTAATCCCGAGCCACTGTGACAATCTTCGTTCCACGGACTTACCTATTGCTTGTTCGCTCTGGTACTAAGTGAAATGAACTCAATGTTTCCAGTGTTGTTTCATTGATAGGCCGTTTTGCTTGCAAAACGGAACCGCTTTTTTTGTTTTAACCTGATAGGAGTGAAATCAACGCGCTTTGTTCGTCGCTGCAATACCCATCCGTACAAGGGTCGACGAGTTGTGCGCTTCGAGATGCCATTCTGCATCCACTATTGTTATTTGTCTGTTTGAGGCCCGCCTGTTAGCTTGCACGTTTCTTGCAATTCTCAATCGACCTCTCTCATCACTGACGCTGTTTTCCGCCCACAGGCTGCCGACTGGACTGTAATGTTTTTTGTTTGTCGCACCATTCTCAGTAAACCCTAGAGACTGTCAGTTTTTGTGAACGGGGTGGTGTACCTAATAAACTTGCCGGTGAGTGTATTTAGCCTTGTGTTTTAGGTCATTGTCCTGCTGAAAGGTGAATTTGTCTCCCAGTGTCTATTGGAAAGCAGACTGAACCAGGTTTTCCTCCTGGATTTTGCCTGTGTTCAGCTCTATTACGTTTCTTATTATCCTAAAAAAAACTCCTTGCCGATGACAAGCATACCCATAACATGATGCAGCCACCACCATGCTTGAAAATATGAAGAGTGGTACTTTTTTGAGTTCCCAATGTGTTATCGCTATGCTTTCAACCATCTAGAAGCACAACCAAATTCCCAATGGAAAATCAATGTCTAAGTTTTGGTTTAGTTGTCACCTAACTGTGTTATCACTGAGCTTTCGACTGTTTAAAAGCACACCAAAGTTCAAATGGCAACACAATTTCAGATATTTTGTTTATTTATTCAACCACTTAATGTGTTAACACTGTGCTTCATCTAATAGCACAACCTAATGACCTGTTTTGAAGTTAGTTGAGATTACATTCAAGTACATGGTGCAAGTGATCAATGCCATTTAAGGGAGCCGGTAGCCTAGCAGTTAAGAACGTTGGCACAGAAACCAAAAAGTTGCTGTTTTGAATCCCCGAGCCGACTAGGTAAAAAATACGTCGATGTTGAGCAAGGCACTTAACCCAAGTTGCTCTGAATAAGAGTGTCTGCTAAATGACTAAAATGTCCAAAAAAAAAAAGGGGGTTCTGTGCAGGCTATTATAGGGATTGTGAACGTTTACACAGACTTGAGACCCTGATCTGAACATTAATGCTTTCTATGATTACATTAGAGGACATGTGTTGTTACAGTAACCTCAAAATGTGGCCATGGATGTGTTACTCATTTTAAGGTAGAATTTTACATTAGTTTGTGAGATGGCCTTAACATTAGGCTATCTACTGTCTTAGAAAAGTAATATTGAATTGTTCTTGGTTAAACTGCTTGCAAATCTACTGCTTGGATAGTTCCATCCGAGCCACTGGCTTAATCCTATTCTTTAACTTTTATTTTTGGATGAGATGGAGACGTGAATCCAACATATAATTTGTTAACAAACTGGAATTAAAGCCAGACTCAGTACGTTAAATAACCTGTAGAGGGTTGATAGGCTATTTACCCTATTGCAAATCTGATATTGAATTGTGTTTGGTTGTGAATGCAAGCAAATATCAACTTTTGAGGGAGACGTATCTTCGGCTTGGATATTTCCATTGGTGCCACCTGAGTCTGGCTTTAATTCCGGTTTGTCTACAAATTAATAATTGATATGTTGATTTGATCATATTCTTTAACTTTTATTTTTGGTTGAGATAGAGACATGAATACAACATTAACATATTAAATATAACTTGTAGATTCCATTTGAAATCAACCAAAGCTTGAAACCCTAGGCCTACAGTTGAAGTCGGAAGTTTCCATACACTTAGGTTGTAGTCATTAAAACTCGTTTTTCAACCACTTCACAAATGTCTTGTTAACAAACTATAGTTTTTGCAAGTCGGTTAGGACATCTACTTTGTGCATGACACAAGTAATTTTTCCAACAATTGTTTACAGACAGATTATTTCACTTCTAATTCACTGTATCACAATTCCAGTGGGTCAGAAGTTTACATACACTAAGTTGACTGTGCCTTTAAACAGCTTGGAAAATTCCAGAAAATGATGTCATGGCTTTAAAAGCTTCTGATAGGCTAATTGACATAATTTGAGTCAATTGGAGGTGTACCTGTGGATGTATTTCAAGGCCTACCTTCAAATTCAGTGCCTCTTTGCTTGACATCATGGGAAAATAAAAAGAAATCAGCCAAGACCTCAGAAAAATAATTGTAGACCTCCACAAGTCTGGTTCATCCTTGGGAGCAATTTCCAAACGCCTGAAGGTACCACGTTCATCTGTACAAACAATAGTACGCAAGTATAAACACCATGGGACCACGCAGCCGTCATACCGCTCAGGAAGGAGACGCATTCTGTCTCCTAGAGATGAACGTACTTTGGTGCGAAAAGTGCAAATATATCCCATAACAACAGCAAAGGAACTTCTGAAGATGCTGGAGGAAACAGGTACAAAGGTATCTATATCCACAGTAAAACGAGTCCTATATCGACATAACCTGAAAGGCCGCTCAGCAAGGAAGAAGCCACTGCTCCAAAACCGCCATAAAAAAGCCAGACTACGGTTTGCAACTGCACATGGGGACAAAGATCGTACTTTTTGGAGAAATATTCTCTGGTCTGATGAAACAAAAATGGAACTGTTTGGTCATAATGACCATCGTTATGTTTGGAGGAAAAAGGGGGGGCTTGCAAGCCGAAGAACACAATCCCAACCATGAAGAACGGGGGTGGCAGCATCATGCTGTGGGGGTGCTTTGCTGCAGAAGGGACTGGTGCACTTCACAAAATAGATGGCATCATGAGGAAGGAAAATTATTTGGATTTATTGAAGCAACATCTCAAGACATCAGTCAGGAAGTTAAAGCTTGGTCACAAATGGGTCTTCCAAATGGACAATGGCCCCAAGCATACTTCCAAAGTTGTGGCAAAATGGCTTAAGGACAACAAAGTCAAGGTATTGGAGTGGCCATCACAAAGCCCTGACCTCAATCCTATAGAAAATGTGTGGGCAGAACTGAAAAAGCGTGTGCGAGCAAGGAGGCCTACAAACCTGACTCAGTTACACCAGCTCTGTCAGGAGGAATGGGCCAAAATTCACCCAACTTATTGTGGGAAGCTTGTGGAAGGCTACCCAAAACATTTGACCCAAGTTAAACAATTTAAAGGCAATGCTACCAAATACTAATTGAGTGTATGTAAACTTCTGACTCACTGGGAATGTGATGAAAGAAAGAAAAGCTGAAATAAATGATTTTCTCTACTATTATTCAGACATTTCATATTCTTAAAATACAGTGGTGATCCTAACTGACCTAAGACAGGGAATTTGCACTAGGATTAAATGTCAGGAATTGTGAAAAAGTTAATGTATTTGGCTAAGCTGTATGTAAACTTCCGACTTCAACTGTAAATATATTGTCTGTTTTTAGTTGAATCCTGGGTTTGAACTGTTGATTACTTCCATAATGTTATAAAGGCCCTAAACAGTATCATTGATGATATACTGATAAAGTATGGTTACATTTCATTTGCTCTGTTGAACCTA